CGCGGCCATAGTCGGGGGGAAAGCCCGCGACAAGCCGTGAGCCCACGCCTAACCTGGCCTCCAGACGTACGCGTTGATGAGGTCCCACGCTCACCCATCCCAAGGGTCTCAGCCAGGGCATGCCTCAGCTCCCATCTTGCCTGCGTTTCCTTGCTGTGAGACTCACTGAGTTGTGGCTGGAACATTCACCCAACCCCACGGTCCCTGAGTTTGTAACCTTTACAATAAGACAAGGACCTTATTAATGTCTCTCAGGGCTTTTGGAGATCCTTTCCTGCATCCTACCAAAACAGGGCCTCTGGTTTCTGAAATCTCTTGGTCATCTTTTGAGGTCATTATCTTTAAATTTATGTGATGAGTAAACAGAATCATAAACAGGTCCAAGCTTATGAAGCTTTAAAATATTAACGGACCTAAAAATAACTGGGCAGTGGTAGTTAAGACACGGTAGAAAGGATAATACAATATTTAACAATTGTTATTTATTAATATTACCTAAAGTTTGAGAAGAAGAGAGAGGCTGGTTCATTATATAACATGATGTTCATCTTATACATACCTTAGATATATCGATGGAGACAACGATTGACCCATATTTCATTACAAACTTTTTGTAAATTTTTCTATATTGACAGGTGCTATCAGAATCACCTCGCGATTCCTTTCTTTTGCCTTTTCTCTCTGAAGTTTTATTTTGCTTTATTTCTCTGCAGGATGATGGCCTTCCAGAGAATGAACATCAGCTCTCGGTAGCTGGGAAGATAAAGAAGCATTTCAACACGGGCCCTAAACCGAACAGCACGGCAGCTGGAGTTTCTGTCATAGCAGTAAGCATCTGAAATACACAGCCAAAACACTTAAATGTGTGCCCACAAGACAGAGTGTGTTTAGGGCATGCCACCAAAAGAAATTGGAGAGGGTTAATCTTTAGATAATTCTAGTATTTAATTGATATAAGCATCATTAGAGTGATATTCTGCACGATTTCTCCATTGATTCTCCTTGTGAGTCACATTGTTATTTAACAGCCCTAGGAGATACAACTGTACACACACTTTCACATTTTACCAGAAGATCAGTGGACCTAACTCCAAGGTAGATCCAACAATTTGAACTATGGGATCATGACGTTTTACCTGGCAGCAGAATCATCACATGGATTGAGACCACACAGAGGTTGTAGCAGAAGGACAGCAGCACTTTAAAATGGAAATTACTTCAAAATTGCAACAGGGAATCTGTATGGCAGCCTAAACTTCTCTTCTGTGAAGATACCAAAGAGAGCTATGATGCTTCATAACTTCATAGCTGATATGAGCTTAGCCACTTCAGATTTAGCTGAGCGGTGGCATTTTATTGTACTGCCACATGCAAGCTGCTTCCCTTTAGGCAGAAGGACTTAATTGGGTAAAGACTTCATGGAGCTCCGTGCTGCCTTCTGTCGTGTTGCAATTCCAGTCCAGGCACTCCAGGTTCGAACGTGTCGGAGCTTCTGAAACCAAGCTTGACTAAACTTTTGACCAAGCTTTACTGAGGTTTCAATGGCATCCTCAGTGTAGCATACATTGCATACATTTGTATTTTTTCCCCAAAGATGAACATGTGTATTAGATATACATGCGCACAGAATATATTCAGTGTATTATGAGCCTATTCATACTAATGACATTGAATAGTAACATGTACATCCTTCACATTTTTGATACATCTGCCTGTGTTTGTAAGCTTTTCTTTATTACTCATGGCAATGTTAAAGCTCCAGATAGTCACTAAAAATAAGTGACATGTTAAACATAACCATTCCCATATCAGATTACTCAGTGTTCATTCCCAGCTTCCATAAATTGCAGGTGGTGTGACTGCACATGTACACTTTCTTGTACTGTTTCCACTTTCATGTTTCTCAGCTCAGCCCCTCCAGTGGTGAGTTAAATCAGCATGAAGTAAACTCAGCTCAGCACATGCAATCTGGCTCACAGGTGTGAACTGTTTGTGCAGCAAAACGGATACTCTCTCAAAGTTACTTGGTATAAGTACTTAAAATTTCAAGCTGTGCCTCTCTCATATTTTTTCTTTACTCTTTCCAACCCTGAACGTCCTCAACATGGAAGCAAGTTGTTCCTCATGCTTTGCCTAGATTTTCTCAGTCATCAGCTAACATAGTCAGCATTTATTTATTTTCATTTTTAAGCAATAATACTGCAACAACTCTCCCACAACTAAAACATCACATACCCATTGCTCATCTGAAATGCAGGTATGTTCTGTATAGACTAGATGAAACCGTGTTCCTTTCGAATGGACTGCCAGCACGCTTGTCCATGAGAATTACTGCTCAGATCCTCCATGCTAATGACTTCAAAGCTTAAAAGCGAGAAATGATGCCTCTGTCCTCATCCATCCCTCGCCTCCTTTATGTTTTTAATTTCCCCACCCTCCTCTTTTTTTTCTTTGCCCCAGTTGCTCTGCCAAGGAATTGTTTACAGCAGTTTGACACTTGAGTAATGGAAAAGGCACTGTAGTGAATCTTTCCACTGCAAAACATTATACATCAGAAAAAAAATGTATATGTTTAATTATATTCTTAATGGCTTTTATTTATTTTTTAGTGTTTGGAAGTTTAACAGATTATTTTTAGTGATCATCTCTATGGGTGAACATCATACTCTGGCACGGTTAATCCTGCAACTTGGCCTATAAAGTAGAAATGTTTAGAATATTTTTACAGAATTCAGAAAGTGGTTTGATTAGCTTCTGTCAACTATTTTCTAAAAACTTGGAAGAGATGGGGAAGTATAGACCTCTTTAGTGTTTTGGTAATTCTCCAGAAAGCTAGATAATTTTGGGTTTAGGAATAAATTACCTTTATTTTCTACAAAGCTAATTTAATGAGTGAAATAAAGCCAAAAGCAAAACAACAACGCCTTTAATTGTTGTTTCTGCATTGGAAAGCGTACTTAATATACATTTGGCATGCATGTCATCAGGGTTTTACATTTGGGAATCTTCCTTTGACTGTGCAATCTCAAATATCATAGAAATAAATCTTATTAATGAAGACTGCTCTACATTTAGAATTTTTAAAGTATGTACAGATGCTGTAACACATTGTTCAGCACTAAGGACATGCACTAAGTATATTTTCTACAAAAATACTGTTTTATTGTGCCTGCCTGTATGTTTACTGTAACTTTTTGAGAGAGTGCTTGTGTATATAATATATAGAGACGCCTTCTATATATTATATAACGTGTCTGTGTGTGCGTTGCGAAAATGTGTTCATGTGTATATATTTATATAGCTTACTTAACAGTATAAAAGATAAATATTAGCACTATTTTGAGTTTTATGGCTCTGTTTATGTACAGAGATGATAGCTAATCTGTGGTGTTTAGTTCTTAATTTGTCGTCACACTGGTATGATATTATATGCCTGTTTTCTGCGGTGGTAAGAAGTAACACACCTCAAAGATCTCAAGCAGTATTTATCATGTGCACCAATTAAACCTATAATATGAAAACTAAGTTCCTAAGGATGTGTTTGTGGTCAGCTTGAGTGGGAGGAAGTTTGAAGCCACATGTATTTTACGTATGTCTACTGCGGCTACTGCTTCCTTCAGCGATGTTCAAATACATTGTATTGACCCCTTTGGTTCAGCCTGAGGCCTGTTTTGCTGATTGAAAAGTTGTCTTTGACCATACAGGACAGAGACATCCTACAAGGTCTCATGTATGTGTCCAGTCTTCAAGTTTGTCCACATTTGATAGGATTTGTCAGTTTGGACAAACTACCGTAATGAACATGTTGTGCGTGCCTAGCAAAGTAGTTCCTTTGCTGATGTAGCAGAAGATGATTCCTCAAACAAAATTAACTACACAGGCAAAAAGACTTTTTCTGTTGATACATCAATACATCATTAAAAGTTCTGCCAGCATAACTATGTCAGCTGGGAAAAAATTCCCTTAAACCAACATAGCTTTGCCAGCGAAATTTTAATTGGGGAGCTAGCTTTTAAAACAGCAAGAGAATTAACAAGTCTCTAGAAAACACTATTTGTTGATGGGAGAGTATGTAGGAGAAAGATCACTTTACTTGCCCTTTTCTTAAACTGTTGTCATAGGTATTGACTACCGGTCTCTGTAGGAGACAGGGGCTGGGCTCGTGCCCCTCCGGGCCGTGTCAGAATGGCCGCATTACTGTTCCACATGTGCCAAAATATTTGCAGGGTCAGGCTTCTCACACAGCTTTCCAATAGGAACAGTATTCTGTAATTCTGTGATGGTGTTTATAAAAGATACTGCAATAAAAACATAAAGCCAGGCTCTTACTAAATAGTCTTTTTAAAATTTGGGGATAGATTTTTTTCCTTCGATCTCCAAGCACGTCATCGTGAGTTTTTTTAATTTGGCCACAAAATAACACCCTATGGCTGTACCCTCTGGGCTTTAGTGACAGTGGCTCAAGTGACCAAGAGCCAAAATAATTTTTTAAGAATGCTTCTGCTATCCAGAGGTGTGCTGTAATTCCTTGTATGAACCGAGCAGCGTTTAGTTTGTGTTCTTGTCTGAAGTGTTAAAGCTTTGCCTGTATGTTGTCACTTTTGTGCTTGTATTTTTGCCATTGTTAAGACAGAGGAAAAGACTAATGATAACCTCCTGTTAAGGTTGTATGAGGTCTCTGTCTTGGCAATGGGAGGAGACTCCAGCTGGAGACTCGGACGAATCGAGTAGGACAGCAAAAGAGAAAAGCTGCTCCGAAAGTTGGTGCAGCTCTCTGCCTCTTGCAGAGCCCTTGCTGGGCCAGGGCCACCGGCGCAGTGCCACTACTGGCACTCTGGCAAGGGGAAGGCAGTGGATGGGTTCTTGCCCTGCGTTCTGCCAATTTTTAAATAAAATTACGAATTCCGAGTGGCATTTTTAGCAGTGGGATTTCTTGGGTGGTGTGGAAGAGAAGCCAAGTTTAGTCCGCGAGTTTTGCTCGGCTTAAAGATGAACTCGTGCCTCGGATGTCACTTCCCATCTGTTGTCTGTGTTGTCCTGGGATCGTTGTCCCCAGTTGGGTTTCTTGTGGCAGGATTTCCACACCGATGAAGTCGTTTCAGCTCGTGTCAGGAAGCAACTTGCCCGATTTTCTCTATGTTACTTTTTAGCTATTCGATTTTAGGGCAATATTTTTGACGGGCTTTTTAAGAAAACACCCTTTTGTGTTTTTTACATGCAGCCTACAAGGAAGCCAGTAGATGGCAATAGCAGACCGGTGTAGTTAAGCCAAGAGAAAATTGGGTACAAGGTTCTCATGGTTTTAAACAGGAAACGTCCTTTAAATAATTCTAAATAAGATGAAAGCGGCATTGTTTTAACAAAATGGAATAAATTATTAAATTCTGCACTTGCAGGGGAGTCATCAAGAAAAATTTAAATTTGCAGTTAGCTTCTAGCTACCCTTGAAGTGGTTGGTAACTAGAAATGTGTTGAACTGCTTTTCTGAATTTAGAATTAGAAACTGTCATCAGTATTGGAAATATATGCCACGCTCTTATGAAGCACAGAATGGCCTTTTCTCCTCATAGGGCAAAATGTGAAAATCTCACAACTAACAATTTTAAAGCGGGCAGAGTGTCTCCCTCAGGATATTTTCCCCTAAAATTGTATTTAACTCGGCTAAATGACGTCTCCATCGTCTGTTAGTGCAGCACAGAAAGATTAGAGAAACCACGCATTTTCTTTGTTCCTATGCACATGATTCTGCTAATGATAAACTAAACTTAAAATATCTCTGTTCCTTAAGAAATATCACGAGCACACTTTCCTGGACACAATGTTAAGT